GAAGTACACCAGTCCTGAGACTGTTGTGTACCCCTAGACGCTCCCTTTATGCTGCCCTAGAAGTTTCCCTGCCTCGTGGCCCCCCTGGTTCTTATCTCCAGCCATCAGCCAGGATGAATGGACAAAGGGCCTTGAGCTAAAGCGGTTAGATTTACATCCTTAAACAATAAGACTCTTTGCTTTTGCATCGGAATGGTCTCTTGGTGATTTTGGGGGTTCAGAATTTGGGCACAGCAGGGCAGGAGAGATGGTTATATGGATCACTTGCTCCACACGCTTGAAGCCTGGAGTTCTGACCCCCTAACACCCACCTAATGTGAGAAGTGCACATTTGTAATTTCAGTGCCTCCTGGGGACAGGAGACAGAAATAAGAACCCCAGATAGGAAGAGAAGAAGGATGGAGTGCCTGCCTGGGGACAGTAAGATACTCCCTCAAACACGGTGGAAGGGAAGGACAGACACCCAAGGTTGTCCTCACAACACATTAATAACAAACAAAAATGAAGAATTTATTATTTTTATAGAAATTTTAGGTTCACAACAAAATTAAAAGGACACAGATTTCCCACGTGCTGTGTGTCCCTGTACATACACAACTTCCCACAATTGCCACGCTCCACCCACACAGTGGCTCATGAACGCCACACAGCTAAAGTCCGCATGCATCTTAAGCTCCTTCCTTGTGTCGTGAGCCCCTATGGGTTGGGGCAAATGGACTATGACACAGCCCCTGTTATTACCATAGGAGCAGTTTCACTGTCCAAAACATCCTCTGTGCTCCAAATTTATATTTAATAGAGATATCAAATCTACCTGGAAGTAGTTACGAGGAGTACAAATTAGTCAAAGTTCCGTGTGTCTCAGAGCCATTGATGTGTTTCTCATGAATCAGATGCTCACGTATTTGCTGGGTTGTTTCTGGACGATGCTTTTCTAGACCTTTGTAAACTGCACTCCCCTGCTTCCTGATGATGTTGCTTTATAACTGGTGTTGGTAGCTGCTAACTCAGACGCTTCCATTCATTGAGTTTTCTTCAATTACCTTGGTCTTTTGTGCCTGAAATAATCAAATCCAATTCCTAGTTAAAATTGCTGCTTCCCTTTCAGGTTATATTGACATTATTCTGTATGGCTTCCCTAGGGCATTGCAACCCAGTAATACTGTAGGAATTAAATTATGTGCTAAAAATCATTTAGCGGTTCTAATACTTAAAGTCTTCTGTGGTTTTATTAGTGAGCCCCCGTGCCCAACCTGTCTTCTGGGGCCAGAAAATTCTGGGTTTGTTTTTCCCTTTGCAGGTCCAAATTCCATCTGTCTTCCCAGCCTGCTCCAGATCCTGCAGATTTCCAGTGTATGACTCAGGTGTCCTTGGGTTTCCCCAGCTATGATGGATGGCATAGATTTGACTGTCATGCTGTTTTGCACACACACACACACACACTCAAAGGCATCTTGAGCCCTTCCACCATCTAAACCATCTGGGCTGCCCCTTTGTCCTGTGTGACCCCTTTCTTCATCATCATCATCACCATCGTCATCATCATCTCCTCCTCCTCCTCCTCCAGACACCCAGACATTCAGGCTTCCTCTCGTCTTGGTGACCCTCACTTTTACACATGTCTGAGACTTTCCACGGTGACATCCTGGCCAGACTTGTTCTTTTGATCTTGTTCTCATCGCCTATCTTTCACAAATTAATGCCTTGTTAACACACAAGTTTCTTGTCTGGAAATCTCTTGCTCACCTCAGACTAGACCAGTCACCTTTGTGGACACACCTCTGTCACAGTGTGTGCCCCAGCTAAAAATTATAAACCTGTTCAATTACTTAATTAGATTATATGAGAAGAAAAGTTCAGGGCTCATGCCTGTTCTGTTCAATATTTTCACCTCCAATTCCCAAGATAGTGTGCGTTCTACAGAAAATGCTCTGTGATTATTTTTGTGAATGAATGCACACAAATAGAAATACATCAGCCTGCAGGGCTCTGGTCCACTCAGTGGTGCCATGCACAGAGGTGTTCTGTAACTATCTTTGTGTTTCTCAGACTGGGCATCTAATTATTCTGTCTTAGATGGAAGAGAGGCTCACAGGGCCCTGCCCTACAAAGGGAACTAATGGCTAGCCTGGGTTACAGAGGGACAGAATCTAATTAATTGTTTTCAGTGCTGTAACCATTGTGTGTTACCCAAGCTCCAGAGGATAAATGGATAGATAGTATATGGGACTCTGGTTACATGCGTTAAGCCCAGTTGATAACAAAGTAAAAAATAAAACACACACACAAGAGAGAGAGGAGGGGAGAGGGAGAGACAGACAGACAGAAATGAAGGGTGGAGACTTGGTGGGAAGAGAGGGCCTAGTATAGTTTAGAGGAGAACAAAAGAGGGTGGTGGGCCAATGTAACCAGAAAGTATTAGATGCAAGTGTTAAACTATCAAAGAATACATTGTTTAAAAAGTCTTTGTGGTTCTTCCTATTTTTTTTTCTGTAGAAAATTTTAACAATGAATTCCATACAATTTATGAGAGTAGCCATGCCATGAAATAGTATTGCTGGCCACTGCGGGCAGTCTCTGGGCCTTCTTGCTGTCCCATACCTGATTTGGTCGGTGTGGCAGCCGTGATAACAGAATACTCCTTACATATGATCAGAAGGGAGAAGGGTCCTTCACTTGCTGATAATACTATCTTATCAAAGCTATTTTTGGGAACTCTAAACACTCTGTTCTGATTTGGTTATGTTGTGTGTGTGTGTGTGGGGGGGGGAATTGGGCGGGGGAGAGGATTGGTGAGGTTAGCATGAATCTGGAAAACCAGGGTCTGGAGTGTTATCCTTTTCAGTTCCAAAGTGGGGCAGCCAGCACAGCTTCATTAGCAATTGGCACAGATGGGCGAGGCTGAACATCTGGTCCTTCATGGAAAATTCCAGTATGCACAGAGCCGAGAAAAGACTGCCATTACATTATTAAAGGGGACCGGAATTAGTTCTCCTTCTCTGGTCTCATAGTCTGGTCATTGATGAATGACAACACTGTCCTTATAATGTCAAGGGATGAGAAGGGAGGATAAGAAATGCCTGGCTGGTTGCCACTAGCAACATGATCTATTAGAGAGTGTGTGTGGGGGGGCAGAAGCAGCAGACCCTCTGCTGTCCTGATGAGAACATTTACCCCCTGGCAGATTTGGTGACCCATCAGAGAGTGATGGGAGCTAGAGGTGCTGTTGACGGTACAGCCTAACCTCTGCCACCCTCTTTGTGTGATGCAGGTGAAGTCACCACCCAGATTCTGTCTCTAAACGGAATAGCAACTTGACCCTTACCAACCCCCACTGAAGTAGGACACAAAGAGTGACCTTAACAGAGGAAAGCAGCCTTTAGGTTTCTGGAGTCAAGAACGGATACAGATTTGTGCCTTCCTGAAGTTGTTAGATGCATCATTTTTAACAGCTGTCCATAAAAATGAATACCAATCATTAGCTGATCAGGACCAGCTGAATAAGGGTTCTTGACAGGGTCCCAGGGTGGGGGAACTGGGGATGAAAAAGAAATAAAGAGATAAGGAAAATAGAGAGTTAAAAGCTGGGGTCTGGAGGGCAGAAAGGGTGGACAACCCAAGCCAGCAAGTTTATTAACTGCACAGTTCTTTTTATAACTCGTGTGTGTGTATGTGTGTGTGTGTGTGTGTGTGTGAGTGTGTGTGTGTGTGTGTGTGTGTGTGTGTGTGTGTGAGAGAGAGAAGAGAGAGAGAGAGAGAGAGAGAGAGAGAAGTGGTCAGAAAATAGAATCAGACAGCAGAATTATAGAGAGTTCAAGATCTCTCAGGTTCACCTTAATCAAGGTGAACTCTGGGGTGACCAACAGCATTTCACGTCTCAGCGTCTGGGATATTTGACCACATTCAATGGGAGAGATGCCAAGTGCCAGTTCTTGGATTGTGGCACCCAGACCCTGGTGCCAGTCCATAGCCTGTCTGCCTGGCATGGCCTGGCTAGGGGAGGGACAAAATGCAATAATCAGGGCCTCTTGGAAGTCTGCAATCCATTCTAAACACCAACCTTTAGCGGCATGTCAATTAAATTCTTTAGAGATCTTCCTGTTGGGTGGGTGAGATAGACATGGAGGTAGAAGCTGATAAGGATAGCAGGGAGTACCAGAGCTGCTGTTGGCTTCTGCAACTCTGGATATCCATAGACTGGGCCTGATGATCCCTGGAAAGCAACAAATTCTGGGAACTCAGGCAGGAGGAAGGATTCACAATTCTCCACAGGAAGACACTGAAGACAAACTTAACCATATCACATTCTTGACTTTGCATTGGGCATTTAGACTTTAAAGATAATTAAATCAATTTGTCATCTTTTGTCGAATAGGAAAATAGTATTGAAAATGCTAGTTAGCCTAGAGGACATTTGCGTCATTCAAAACCAGGCAGTAGGCCACCTACAATGTGGAGGTGATTCATTACATTACAGCAAGTTAAATGTCTGTAAGTAAATGGAGAGACTCCAAGAATTTCTGTGGCTGCCTCTGCCTTCTGTCGGGTTGTAGTACACATCTTCACTCTCTATTCATGGAAGAAATTGGGTCTCTACCAGGATTTTCTCCAACGCTATGTTCCTGCAAGTGAATACTTGGCTTAGGTATCAGTGCTATGTTGGGCAGGGAACACGTGTTCTGCCCACATTGCAAGGGCCCCAGGGATTTCTTCTTTCAGGGAGCTGTTTTCTTATCTGAAGATTTGAGCCCCCTAGCCACCGATGAATGGATCAGAATGAGTGACAGATGTTCAGTGATAACCGTTGACCCAAGATGCGGCTAGCACGAGTGGACAACTTCCTAGGATGATGGTGGTGTGCTGGGTCTAACAGACTCTGTCCAAAGAATTTCAGCTGAAGATATGATGAGGGCCAGGTAGCTGGGATACCTGTGAGAAGCCTGTAATATCAAGAAACAAGACGAGTCCCAGATGAGCAGAGACTTGAGTCCGTGAGCACCATGGAATTGGGGAAGAACGTGGAAGATGGGAGAGGCTGTTGGCTGGTAGCTGACTCTATCTTGGCAGAGGATAACCCAGATAATGACATGACTGGAGCTATGAGGCTCATCTTGGAAGTCATCTATGGCACCTGGTTCCTACAGTCACTGCTCTGTCCCTTACCTTATTGTTGTCATTTAAGAAAAGTGGCATGCAGGAGAAAGACACCATTCGACAGGGTTCAGGGTTCAAGCAGAGTTTTTTTTTTTTTTTAGTTAGGGAAAGGGATCATAAAAATGGAAAGGGAGGTAGGTAGACTAGCTTCTGGGGACAGGAACAGCAGGAGAGAGGAGAGAGGAGGGAGGAGAGGAGAGGGGGAAACAGACAGATGTGGTGAGAGAGAGAGAGAGAGAGAGAGAGAGAGAGAGAGAGAGAGAGAGAGAGAGAGAGAGAGAGCAGAGAGGGGGAGAGTAGGCAGAGCCCTTTTAAAAGGGAACATAGTGAATGTGCATAGGTGGTGTTTTAGTGGCTGCAGCTGAGGGTGTATCCTGTCAGAATCCCAAGGACAGGCCAGTACAGATGCCTGATTACTTACTAACACTTATAGCTTAGAGGGAAGGAGAGGATGTTCCCAACAAACACCTGATGCATAAGTACATGCCTGAATTTTGTACATGTATTTCTTTTTCTTCCATTGTCTCTTAAGTTATCTTGTTCACTTTCCTGTCTTCCTTTGTGCCTTCCTTATAACCAACTTTGTTCCTCATCTCTTCAGAAAGTGAATGTTCATGACCCCGGACAAAGTGGTAGTGAGGACAGTGAAAGGTTATCTCACAGTGAGCATTGGTTAAGTCAACCTTCTGGCCATTGAGTCTAGACTATGGCACACACCAACTTTGACTGAAGAAATGATAATTTAGCTTAAATGTTAGGTCATGGCTCAACTTGACTGCTCTCTCTTTCTCTCAAGATTCACTAAGCTGCTGAGGATGATCTTGACTCTCTGAGGATGATGGTGACCCTCTTGCCCTTACCTCCCATGTGAAGGATTACAAGTGTGCACCACCATGCCTGGCTCTTCTTTCACAAGTCTTCGAAAGGAAACCGATTGCTCTCCATTCTGTCTTTTGCTTCCTTCCAGCTCCAGTTGGAGTGTTGCTTTTTCAGTTTCCCTTATGTGGGCAGAGGTCATATCCTACAGAACCTCAGGATAATGACATAGGAGGAAGAAAAGTCCTCAGATAACCAGGAGGCACTGACCACAGACACACTGGGGTCTATCTGTAGTGACACAGGGGAGATCAGAAAAACCTTCAACCATGGAGCAGTCTTATGTTTTAGTCTTTCTGTTACCATGACATAGTTTACCCCCTCACTAATACACCAGGATAGACATTCACTAGTGCTTGCATTGTACTGGACCACACAGAGTCCTGGACAAATATTTTATCACTTTGTTGAAGAGCAATGTCTTTAAACAGGTGTTGCTAGCCATTTTACAGATGTGCAAGTGATCTCGGAAAGGTTAAGGTTCTTTCACAAGATTGCACGGCTATATGGGGTAGGAGCATACATACTTGAATGCAGCCCCAAAGTGTTTCAAAACATGCTTTCCTAGGCTGACCACTTGGTATTGGATAGACAATTGTTATGCTCTTCCCTGGGGAGACTATTTCTCCTGCTCTCAGTATCCCTAGGTGCCTGTAGTTCTCTGTGTATGGTTGAGGCCTCCTGGGCAGTCTCCCAGTGTCACTTCCTTCTTTTTTAATTATTTTTGAAAATTTCTTATATCAGTTCAGTATTTATATCGTTTCCATTCCTCCCATGTCCCTCTACCATCATGCTCAACCTCATGGCCTCTTTTCCTTCAACTATATATGTATATAAATCATACATAAATATTATATATACAAATATATATATACATATATATAATATATGTATATAAATCATACATAAATATTATATATACAAATATATATATACATATATATAATATATGTATATAAATCATACATAAATATTATATATACAAATATATATATACATATATATAATATATGTATATAAATCATACATAAATATTATATATACAAATATATATATATCCCACTGAGTCTATTTAGTGTTTCTCTTATGTACAGATAAGGGCTGAAAACTTAGGGTGTGGCTGTGTCCCTTCCTAGCAGATTTCCTGAGGACTTCCCACAGCCAGGGCTGTCTTGTGACGGCCTCTGGCAGTTGGGGACTCTGGGATGGTGAGACTGCTATCTAGGGTGCTTTCCAGGGCAAAGCAACAGAGGGAGACAGCAGCAGCCCATGCTACGAGGCTCCCCTATCTCTCCTGAGTCACAGCTCCTGAAATGAATTTTTCTTCTCTCTTCCTTTTCATACTTTTGTCTAGGTGAGAAGCCTGGAAATGAGCCGGAGGAGGCAAAACTGCAGAATGCCAGCAAGCAGATTGTACAGAATGCCATCCTGCGAGCTGTACAGCAAGTCTCCCAGGAGAGCCTTCAGAGGGGAGGCAGACCCAGTGACTGTCGGCCCCGGGGCCGGCTGGGAGGGTGTGAGCTGACCAAGAAGCATGAAAAGAAGTAATGGGTTCTGGGTCTGGCTCTTGTCACATGCTTGGCGTCTGCCTTTCCTGTTAGCATAGGACGTATCACTAAAATGTTGCCAATAAGCAAAGCCAAGTGTCATAGATGCCTATCAGTAGGACGAGTTCATGCTAGTCTTGGAGACAAGCTATGGTTTTGCAAACCTGTGTTAGGGACTCTTCACATCTATGGGGAGACTTTGGAAGCAGCTGAGTCAGACGTAGCACTCACACTGCAAAAGTCATCTTGAACAACTATTCTCCATGTTCTTAAAAAATTAGAATTCTAATTCTTGTTTATTTATGCATTCTTTCTATGAATTCAACCAGCAGTCTTTATTGCCCTTCTGGGCCACTGAGTGCAGTTCTGTGTTCTTCATAAATATTAAAAGATACACCAGGAAGATGAAGGAACGGAGCATTAGTCCTGTTCAAATGATGAGAGTTCAGGTTCAGGATCAAACTGAGTGGATTCTGAGACCCAGCCCTGCGCTAGAGCTTATGTTTATGTTATGCCAAGAAAGGGATGTGTTTATGCCTTGTGAGAACTCAGTCTTTTTTATCTCTGTTCTCTGAGTTGTTCACAGTTGGTGTTTACCTTCTGTGCAGAGATCCGGTGGGGACAGTACGAATATCTTTTCTTAACTCAAGATTAAAAGAGATGACTGAGTCTATACACATCAGTCTCTGATGACTCAGTTCTTTGGCAAACTAAAGGGAACAGCGCATGCATGCTCCGAGCCTCTAAGCTTCTCCATCCTGGATTTACCTCCCCATGAGGCTGGAGAGAGCAGCCTCCTTGGCCAGGAGTCTGGGCCCGGTGATTGCTATGCTATCACCCAGCTCTGTATCTTCACTAGTCCCTCACCAATAGACTTCCTCTCTTCCAAGGGAAAAAATTAGCATGACATTGTTTATTTTTAACGTTATGAAAATTGTGAGGTCATGAATAACTTCTGTGAAGATGTGGGAAACTATTCCGTTTTTAATTGTCGGAGGCGTGTAAGCAGAAGGAGAAAAGTGGAGGCATTTCTGAGAGATGGGTGTGCATGCGTCCTAACAGCCATCTCCATTCAACACGGTGAAACCTCCTGCTGCTCCCGTGTGGACAACAGAAGTCTCTCTTGAGTCTTTTAGGGCCCCATTTACTGTGCTTTATGAAAACCACTGAGTTGGTGCTACTGGGAGCAAAGGAGGAATTCAACCTGTTTAAAACCCTCCAGGCTACAGAGTATCCTTGTGTGTACATTGTCATGCACTCTAAAGGCAAAGTATTTCTAGTGTTTAGACACCTCCGAAACTCAAGTATACCAGACTGTATGTGGCCAGGGACACTACAGATAACATTAAATGGGGGAAATCAATTTCACCATATTAGACTATATTTGGTGGGACAAATTAGTTCAGGGAGAGAATTCATGAGGGGAAAATGAGAGTGTTAAATTTTAGATATTGTCTATTCATCATATTTTTTTTGGAGACAGGGTTTCTCTCTGTGGCTTTGGAGGTTGTTCCAGAATTCACTCTGTAGACCAGGCTGGCCTCGAACTCACAGAGATCCGCCTGCCTCTGCCTCCCAAGTGCTGGGATTAAAAGCATACGCCACCAACGCCCAGCCTCGTCAATTTTTTTTTTTTAAAGGCAGAGGTCATGGCAATTAAAGAATGAAGTTAAGTCAACCTAAAATCATGTGTCTGAATTTATGGCAGTTTTGTATTTGGGGAAATCATTCAGATGTCCCACAAATAATAAAACAAACCCAGTGCTCATAGTTTGCAGGTGACCTGCCACTGTCTCTGCTACGGTATCTAATTATAACCAACCTTGTTTTTCTGTCAAATGGCAAAAACATAAATATGTTAACCTTTCTTCTCTGGTGTATATGGGGAATATTATTGATTTCTGTATCAAATACTATTTATAAATAAATTATATCCAGGTTTGAAATATGTATCCGTGTGAAGCATTTTTCTACCTGCTCTTGTTTGGCTCATATTACATGTGCTCTTACCTGCATCAGGGACCTGCCAGAAGACTGTGACTCCAAACTCTTCCCTACCACAGGCAGAGCAGGTGATTATTTAATGTTCCTTAACCTTGACTATGGATAGCTTTGGCTATGGAAAAGAAGTCTACTTCTAATTATTATTATTATTTCTTTCTTCAAGACAGGGTTTCACTGTGTAGCCCCGGCTGTCCTGGAGCTCTGTAGACCAGGCTAGCCTCTGCCTCTCAAGGGCTGGGATTAAGGGTATGCACCACACTACCGGGAGAGAAATGAACTAAAAAGTGCATAGCAAAGGTAAGGAGATCTGTCAAGCAGTCATTGTTTCCTGGGGTGGGAAGTCTGAAGCAGGGGATGATGGCACTGAGTTCCGAGAGGACAGGAGGAAGTGCAATAACGAGAGCCTCAAGGGCGTGCGTGAGCTATGAAGAGAACCACGGCAACCCAGTCATAGGGACCGATGCGGCTGTTCTACTCTTGATTCACCCTCGATACTGTGATACGGCTACCGGGTTTCATAAGCGGGCTGCGGGGCTTTGTGTTGTGTAAACTTGGTTATTGTCATAGCCGGTATTCGGCTCTGTTTTCAGAACTGTGGGAACATTTATTTGATGTCTTCTGAGACCTTGACTCACTGCGAAGCAAAGCACGCAGAGTTTCCTGGCTCTGTGTGTTCAGCTGTTCACCCCGGCTTGATGATCTCCAGGATGGAACTAAAGAGAGAAATACTTTCATGTGGCGCTGCTTCTCTGTAGCCATCTCTTCAGGGCAAATATTGTCGCAAATAGACAGAGAGCGGCTTACTGGCTTCCGGGGCTTCATTCCTCATTACCTCCCTACACATTTAAAGCATTTAGTCTTTTCATTATGGGATTTTTAGGTTGCTAATAAATGAAGGAGATATCTTAAAAACCATTACATGTGTGCCATTCAATGAACAAGCACCTGGCTGTTTTTCAAGGTGGTTTAAGACCTCTGTGATAAAAATAATACAGAAGCAGGGAACTGTGGATTTGTCCATTGAAATGGCTATTACAGAAAATGAAATCCCCAACAAAGGGAACTCATTTCACACCTGTCATACCCACATAGATGGAAAGAACCGATATTTGAGCCAGTTCCTCCTGTAAGAGAACTTGACAAAAGAAACATCATCTTCTCTCTTGAGTTGGCAATGTTTTCTGGAATGTGTGACCGCCTGTTACCGGGTTTATCTCCATGCTACAGTCTCAGAATACGATTCAGGAAGAGGAATAATTTTTTATGAGGTCTGAGGGGGATTAGTGAAACGTGGGTGGAAGAAGTGAGCACTCCTGGGCTTCACAACGCAGAGACCACTGAGCTCAAACTGAATCTTTAAACCACTTAAAACCCAAATTTTAGAATTTCTATGTGAAGATGGAAGAGGAAGTCTTACAGAACACTTCTCTGAATAAATGAATTAAAACCAAGATAGCAAAGGGACAGCAAAACTATTTGCCAGTGGAAGGAGCCCAGTGTCATTAACCTCAAACAAGGGCAGCTGAATTAGCCAGCTGTATGTTGCTACAATGAAATACTCTAGGCAGTTAAGGACACGAAAGTTGATTTAACTTATTGTTTCAGAGGCTCCATTTCAAGATGGGGTGTCATATAGATTTGGGATCCTGAAGAAGGTGGTATGCTGCAAGAAGAGCTTGAAGTCCAGCATGCCAATGACTGTGATCCTGGGGACACAGGCATATTGACAGACCAAGGTCTCACAGTCCCCTTTAAGGAATTGGTCATCATCACCCAAATATTTCCCGAAATGGTCCACATCCTAAAGGCTCTACCACCCTCCAATAACATCACCCTGAGGACCACTGATGGGAGAATGTCCTACTGTGCGCTGTTAGTATATGTTTCCCTTATTGGCTGATGAATAAAACACTGATTGGCCAGTAACCAGGTAGGAAGTATAGGCAGGGCTACCAGATGAGGAGAATTCTGGGGAGAGGAGGCAGAAAGAAGCCTCCAGGGAGATGCTATTTAACTACTAGGAAGATGGGATGGCAGACATTCTCCTGTAAGCCAAGAGTATGTGGAGATACTTAGATTAATAGAAATGGGTTAATAATTAAGAGAAATCTAGCCAATAAGAACTCTGAGCCATAAGCTAAACAGTTTATAATTATCAAAGCCTCTGTGTGTTTATTTGCGGCTAAATGGCTGTGGGACCAGGCAGGACAGAAACATTTGTCTGTAATGGCACCCAACATGAGGCAAGAATTACCATGTAAAACCTGACAAAAGCTTAAAAGGGATTCTCAACACAAAAGAACAGAGACAAGCATGGCTTCGTGGTGACAGCATTTTCTCGGGTGGGCTCTGTTTGCTAGAGGCAGCAGAGACTCATTTGAGGCTTCTCAACTAAGCATTAGTGGCAAAAACCACCAGGCTCTTTTAAGAGGCCCTACTACCAATTCATCACCCAATAAGAGAAACATATTCAGAGCCTACAGAAGGACCTCCCCTATCAGACCACACCTTTAACACATCTGCCTTCTTAGGTGCTCATCCAAACCATACTATGAGTATGGAAACAGGAAACTGTAGAAAGCAAAGTAGAGGATCATATCAGAGGACAGGGAGTGCACCCACTTTTCTGCCATTTGTTAGAAAACATATCAGTTTGTACGCAGTATCCCAGGCCTGATGTGAAGACATTAGGGTGCTTTTGCCCTTTGTCCTTGCTGCATTGAAATAGAAAATATCGTTGGGAGGAGACACATGAAGCAGAAGAGACCACTTTCAGGCAAAAGTGGCAAACTGGTCCAACAAAAAGGAAAAATAAGAAAAGAAAGAGAAGGACATACGTATTTCTAGAACAGATGCTATGCTAGAGAAAAATGAAAAATTATCAATATCAACACTACCAGAGTATAAGAAAAAGTCTTGAAACTTGTGGGCTGAGATTGCCCAAGGCCAATTTCTGGGCTGAAATCAGGTTTCCTCAGGATGATGTTTGATGCCCCAACACAAGAGCAGAAGACAATTAAAGAGCTGTGGAGGAGGGATCAGGAGAGGTAAGCTGTCATTCATGGCTAGGATGTCACTTTACAATAAAGGCAAGCATGAAGAGTCTTAGCAGCCACCTGTGCTCACAATCCTCTGTGCAAACAAATTACACTATGAATTAATTTGAGATGACAAAAAAAAACCCACAAATAAATCAATGCTTAAGGAGTGGTGAGGTGGTTTGAATAGGTACCGCTCCCATAGACTCATGTGTTTGAATGTTCAGCCCATAGAGAGTGGCACTATTAGGAGGTGTGGCCTTGTTGGAGGAAGTGAGTCACTTAGGGCTTGGGCTTTGAAGTCTCATATGCTCAAACTATGCCCAGCATGGGACACAGTCTC